TCAATCTCATAAGTATTTTTATAACTTGCAATTCATACATGTAAAGCTACATACCAAAATAATCAAGGAACAAATAAAATTTCTAATTTCTTAACGAATACAAAATTTCACAAACACCTGTCAGCATGAAAATGCAACACAAAATTAAAGCAATGAAACTAAAGAAAGAGGCAGAAACAAAAGATCTTTCATGCTAAGCAGATAGGCAAAGCCTCATACATGTAGCTAGCCCCATAAATTACGGTAAATGGTGGAAAAAGCTCAAACAAAAAAATTAGATATAACTGAGGATGTAATATGCATCTTCACCCACCAAAAGAATTAGAGGATATGTATTTAAAATTGTAATTTCATATCTAGCAGCAACGCCATGAAAGCAATTTAGAATAAAAAATGTAAAGGTAGAATGTAGTACATCATTGTTGTCAATAGTATGCTGGCAGCTGGGGCACGATTTAGTTGGGTTACTTTTCCACTTAATTTTTTCTACATCACAACTTCCAGATGCACACTTTATTTTGGTTGCAAATCTGTTGCCGTCTACCAGCCATGAACGTCTGCAATGTTCAAATAATTAGAACTTCAAGCTAATTATTTCCACCATAACATCATCCAGGGTTGGCAAAGCATCCAATATGCATACAACAATACAGCTTTTATTTGAAGTTCATGAAAGAACAACATAGCCAGATAATACCATACATCAATGTATGAAATATCACTAGTAAAACCATAATAAGCCTTGGTGAGTCATACACAATTTTCAAACCATTCACGGTCCATTTGGTAACCAGCTATAAACATTGGTAATGCAGTTATAGGAATTAAATGTGGAAAGAAAATGAATGTTCATTCCCAAGATCACTCAAGATAAGCTCCAAATTGTCTATGTTCCTTCATGAATTTCCATTCCATAATTCCATCTAGTACCACCGCCCAAGTGATAATGGAAAAACATGAAGAAAACACAAGTTTGGGGGATGAGATTGTGTTCCCATGGAGATTATAGGTTGTTTTCCAAACTAAAGTACACTTAAAATTCAATCCATTATAGCAATTTATTACCAGCAACCAAACGGGCTGTCAAAATTTACAACATTTTGGGCTAACTAGAAGGCTAATTGTTCTACATCAGTACTTCTACCATCCTTTATTGTTAGACACTATAAGGTGACAAAAGAGCTCTGATTGAAGCACACAATTTAACCATAGGAAAAATGTACTCAACCATCAATCTACTAATATCACAGAACAGAGAATATAATCCAGATCTACCAATTGACAATACCAGTTTACTAAATGTCTCAAAAAAAAAAAAAAAAAATTTAAAAAAAATAATAATAAATAAATAAATAAATTTAGCCTATCTCTGGATTGTGACATTCATCTGTTACATTAAGAACGTGTTTGGATAATAACAGAATCACTAAAGCATTTTCGTTATAGGATGTTTAGTTTGAAGGGTAGGGTAACAGTTTCCCAGCTTTCTCTCTCATTTGAGTCCATTGCAATACCAAACAATCCATAAAAGTAATGGACTAATGGCTATCATTATCCTTTCTCAATGATTCGATTCCATTCTATTCTGATTCCAGATTCCTTCAACCATATCAAAACACACAAAGGGATTTTAGAAGCAACAGATATAGGTGCCCCCACCCCTTATCCTTAGCACAGTATCATAGCTAGTAAATTTCTACCCAATCACAGGCAGGACTAACATAGTTGCATGTGTTAATAATTACCCACATGGAAACAAGTACACCAAAAAGAATACAACTGTAATGATATACTACCCAGGAAATGCAATAAGATGTACTTCAGAACCAGTTATGATTTAAGAAACCAAGATCTTGGAAGCAATAAAGAGATAAAATCAGATCCCAATTGAGCAAAAGCAATAGTGGGTGACAAACAGAAAGAAAAAGAGAGATATAAAGCATGTTACTTTATTCTATATTATGGGGCACCCGGGGGGGGGGGGGGGGTGTTGTTGGGGATGGGAGTAGATTAATTCAGAAGCACAAAGATAAGTAAGGATTCAAATATAGTGTTACTTTCTGCTCTAAGAGTCATGTTATGATAGTAATGTCACTAAACATTTGGATATAGACAATCCATGCTCTTTGCATATTATTTCTAAATTCCCATTAGGCTCCCAAAGATATAATTCAAGATTAAATTAATAACTCCCCCTCCGCACACCCCCCCCCCCTCACCCCCCCTCTCCCCCTCCCCCACAACCCAATACACACATACATTCACTAGAACATTTCAAACTCAATTTTGATAGCTCGGTCCCATTACTTCCTAGGGATCACCTTGAATAAAACTTGGGACCCTGACACCCTCAAAGTTGAAGCCTTGGTCATTCAGAAAGGTATTAAAGGGGCCCTTCTCATCATCAACTACATAACCACTGAAGTTCTGGATATGTGTTATCATATCCATCTAATGTCAGCAAAAATCTACCATTGTTTTGATACCTATCTAAAAGCACATTGCTTTAAAAAGGCTAACCAAGCATTTGATTCATGGTGAATCTTGGCCACAACAACCTACCATGTTTAATCAGTTTCCTCTTGTAATGTCGTGTTCTCTCTTAGTCATAGGTATTGGTTGAGTTAGTCTGGTTTTCTTTCCATGTCAAAACAAAACATCTCCAAGTGTAATTGTGGATGGGCAATAAATTTTATGTCCTTGTTTGATTGAACATGGCAAGAAGATGTAGCTTCCATATATTTTCATTTCCTATAAATTACTAATTGTTGTTTGAGTGTTTGGTTAAGAAAATAAAAAAATTTACTTCCCATGGGAAGTTCCACTAACCTAGGGGATCTAGGGTACTTCCTTCTAAAAATAAGTTCACATTAGATAAGTTTAGAAATAAGGTCTGATAACTATTAATAAGGGCCATCCAAGTTCAATATACAACTAATGTTTAATAAGTTTTTGTAAGTTAAAATAAGTTCAGGTAAGAAACAATCAAGTGAATAACGAACCCTTAGTGGGAAGTAGAACTTCCTTTGAAGTGTAACTTCCCATGATTTTGGCAACCGACCAACTCCACCCTTTACCAAAATACCACTTCCAAGTAATTTAACTTCCCATGATTTTTGGTGTCAACCCAACAAGCGCTAGGTATACATGCATCATAGTTTCTTTACAATATCACACACAAATTTTAAACAGCACCGATCAAACAAGTCACTAATATCAGAATTTTAAACAGCAAACTTCTCCTAACCCACTTCAACTCAACCGATAAACAGATTATCATACAATTGGCTGATTTCTGCTTGAAATTGAGCATTAATCAAATATAAAAATAAACTCACAGCTATGGGCAAATTGGAAACCAACTCCCAAACAAATTAATAAATAAATAAATAAAATTTTGTTAAAAAAAAAAAAACCCCCTATAAAAAAGTACTTAAAATAGAAAATTTTCAAACTTCATAACATGATCAACAGCATAATAACCCATTTAATAGTCTAAATGTCTGCTTCTATTTGTTTTTCAATCGGACTTGACAGACTTAAACTATGATGCACCCACCAAATAGGGCGAAAAAAAAATCATCAGTTAGCAAAAAAATCAACTATACAAGATAGATTACAACAATAAATGGGAATAAATTGTACTATAATTATGAAAAATAAAAACCAAGTCTTTAAATTTAACACCCAGAAAAGAGAGAGAAAGATTACCCAGACATGGTGATGAAAGAGTTGAGCGATGAAGATGATGATGAATGCTCTTCAATGTCCTTTGTACTTGAAAAGCTAATTCAAAAGTGGTGGATTTCTAGCGTGTTTCTACTAGGTTTTTTCATTCACACTATTATTATTGTACTTTTTATTTGGGTTTTTAATTGCTAATTATTGTTTCCATAATACTGTACTCATCAATGTCATTTCCGTGTTTCTGAATTTTGAAAACGTGCCTTCATAAGTTGGATTTTAGTAGTCCGACATGTGATAACTAGAGTTACAATCGTACAGAGTAGAATAGAGTCAAATTGGAGATAGAAATTTTTTTTATTATTTCTTCTACGATGCATTTTAAAGAGAGGAAATTTATGCATTTATAAACGCATAACAAGGGGCAAGGAGGTCTTTCCACGTTACTTTTGACAAAGTTAGTGGAATTCCAGCTAGGCATCCGTTTTGCTTTTGTCTAACCCCGTTTTGCTTTTTCACATATTACTTATGTATTTCTTTTCGTATGTGAAATGTATCTCGTAAGTTATATGTATTTGATTCTAAGTTTTTGTTTATCTCTCTCCTCATTTCGAATTTCGTCCTTCTCTCTCTTTTTCTCGCTCCTCTTGTCGAATTTTCTTCTTTTTTTTGTGTTTGCTCATCGTCCTCTTTCTCCCCTCCCTCCCTCTATTCTTCATAAATTGTATGTCGTTGTCCGCATTCCTTCGTATTCCGTCGACGTGGTGCTTGTCGAGGAGCTGAAGAACACTACCTGTAGCCGAGCTGAAGAACCCTCCGAACAAGTAAGTTTGTTGATGAAAACGTAATTGATATTACCTAAATCGACGTTGTCAGGATTTTGATAATGGTTGAATTTGATTTTGAATTTTCCGAAATCGATTTTGGGTTTGACAGTGATTGCATTTGAAATTTTGTGATTTTTATTTTAGAGTTTTTCAATTGTTTGTAGTTTGTTTTGTTCCTCAATTTACTCGCTTACAACGATTTAAGGATTTTTCAATTGTTTGAAGTTATCTATTTTCCCCAATTGTAAGAATGTAAATTTAGGGTTTTACAATTGTATGTAGTCTCGTACTTACTCCAATTGTCAATATTTACTCCCTTACATCAATTTTAGGGTTTACAATGTGAGTGTGAAATTGAATTTTCCCAAAATCGATTATAGGGCTTTTGAATTTTCCCACCACTAGAGCTAGCTGTTAACTGTTGGAAGTTTGCCTATTTATGTATTGAATTTAACGGATGTAGTCCCTAATCAAATTTTTAGGCTATGTCAATTTGTAATTAAAGGGAAGATGATTAGTTAGGAAGTGCGTTTTGTGTTTTTGGCTGTTGAAGATTGCTGTTTATGATGGTTTGATAATATTTATTGCCACTTTGTTGAAAATGCAGGTAGAAGAAAATTATGAAGAAAAAGTCTGTAGTTCGGAATTTAAGTTGGCAAAAGGGGGTAAGTTTTGTGTAAGGATTTTTTTTGTGTTATTTTTACCCTGGAAATGGTTGATATTGATATGAAATTTTTGGTTTGGGTATTAGGTCACTATGAAGTTTGTAAAGGGGCAAGGGACTTCTAAAGGACTTGTAAAGGGGCAAGGGTCTTCTAAAGTAGCTATCCCTAACAGCAAATCAAATGGTAAGAACATAAATTCCAAGGAATATAAGGAATCTGAGGATTACAACGAGGAGGAAGATGACAATGGTTGGAGTAATTCCCAATCTGAGGATTTTGTCGATGAGGAGGAAGATGAACAATCAAGCTCTGAAGTATTTAAGGGACTGTAGATGCATTTCTTACATAGAGACAGTAAGAAGAGAAAGTCAAAACATAATGATAAAGGTTCATTGAAAATGGCTAAGGTATTATTGTTGTTGATACCCTTGTTTTGTTTTATGCTGATTTATATAACAAGTAATTGATATGAGTTATATAACAAGTAATTGATATGATTGGGTTGGTTTGGTTGATGTATGCAGGTGGAAAAAAGCGAAGGACATAGAGTGTGTTCTAGGGGTGAGGTGATAAAGACACGCTTTGAGAATATTAGGAAGGTATAAACTTATAATTTGTGTGTAATCCTTATTGACAAATTCTCGTGCATTTGGTTTGTTTTGGATGGGTGTGGTTTGGTATGGATGTGTGGTTTGGTTTGTATGTGTGGTTTGGTATGTATGTGTGATTTGATATGATATATAGTGCGTAATTGTGTTGTGTGTTGTGTTTTAATTCTGTAGCCGCCGAATATTGTGTGTAGAGTAGAATCATTTTGTCTTGAAGTTGAGAAGTTTGACAATGACCAGCGCCAGTTAGTTAGAAGGATGGGTTTTGAAGGGTTGTTGAGTTTGGATATGAAGATTATTACACGGTAGTTTTGCTACCGGTTGATGACTAGGGTAAGAGGTGATGGAACTATTGTTTTTGGTGATGGAGGAATGTTGTCGTTGGGTGCAAAACAAGTTTGGTCAGTACTTGGTATACCTATGAGACCAAATCCAGTGCCCACACACGTGCATATGAGGAGTCGGAGAAGGTACAAAGGATCATTGGCATGTACGGTGCTGGGTCTAAGAAGGATACCATATAATTTGTTGTTGCTTCAAAAGTAATGTGTTCACTTGATAGTTCTGGTAAAATATTGTCGTTGGGTGGTGATGAGCAGGATGAAGAGGATTTCATGACTTCTTTCATGATAGTGGTGCTTGGAAAACTAATATGCACAACAAAAAATAGCTCTAACATGGCTAGGTCTCTAGTTCCTGCTGTGACAGTTGCCTCTAGAGCAATTAATTTTGACTAGTGTTCTTTTACGATGTCTTGGCTTTGTGATACCGCTGGTCGATTTCAGAATAAGTTTTTAAGGGATGGTTTTAGGTCTCGCTGTGGTGCTTGTGTTGTGTTCCTTCTAGTAAGTTTGTAGGCTTAAACTTACTTATTATGAAGTTTCTGGTTGTAGATGCTTGAAATGATTGTTTATGTGTATGTGGTGCAGATTTTCTACCTGGATCATCTAGAACGCGTCTCTGTGCAGTGGGGTGTGTATCCTAGGATCAAGGTCTGGACAACGGAAGAAGTTCAGGCCGTCGTTGCTGAGGATTGAGTGTCAAGGGAGAATTATGGGAAGTTATTGGTAAGGCAAAGTAATATAAGTATTTGTTATATTTAATGCCCAAAGTTGAAATTATTGTATTAAATGTCCAAAGTTTACTTTACAGTTGATAAGCTGTGATTGTGATTGTATTGTTATTGAATTCAAATATTGTGTAGCCCATAAATATTGCTTATGGTGAGCCGCATCCCATGATTCCAAGGAAAGGCAAAGGCCTTAAAGGAAGGGTTGAGGAAAATGACGTAATTTCTAATGTTGTGGAGAAGGTACAATTAATTTGTTGATTTTAATCTTTGGTATGCAAATATATGTTGATTAATATTTTGGAAACATGTGAATCCTAAAAGCTATCCAAAAATTTGTGTTAGGTTCTGACACGGCTCGCTCCTAGACTGGTTACTCTTGTTGAGGGTATTGTTTAAAAAATCCATGGGAAGTGGTGTTGTTGGTGGTGGTGGTGGTGGGTCATATGTGACTGATGATGTTGTTGATGGTAATCGAATCTAAGAGACTAACACCGCAAGCAATGGCAAAGGTAGCCTTTATACCTCGGGCTCAGGACCGAAGGAGGTTCTTATTTCTTAACTATTTATTGGTGATTTTGTGTGGCAAACAATGTTAATGCTCAAGAAAAACGAGTATGAGAACTTGGCTAGGAAGCATGGGAAGTTTTTCCTTTCATACTCGCTGGACCAGATACGTGTTGTGAGGATATCTAAACCCAAGTAGTTTGTTTTAATTTACTGGTTTATAGTCAACTGTATAAGTCTTAAGCGAAAATGTGATTTGTAGGTATTCATGCCGATCCTCGAAGTTTCTAAGAAGAAAGGGGAACATTGGTGGTGTTTAGCAGTAGATTTCAAGGAAAAGCAGATATGGATGCTTGACTCTTTTGTTAAAGATCCCTTTGCAGCTCACGCAGACATAAAAACTGAGTCGGTGAGTGTAGATCTTCAAATTCAACACCTATTTCATATTTCTTGTGCACATTGATTAGTGAGTTGCGGCTGTTATAGGTTCAGGGGCTGGATGTGCTTGCTGGTGCACATCCAAAATGGGTACTTGATCAGATATGCAATTGACCTAGAAGAATAATGGAAATGGCAAAACAATAGACACGTATGTTTGTGTTCGTTTAATGTTTTGGATCATTTCACTCTTCTGATTATATATTGATTCTAATTGTTCTTATTTCTTAACTATTTATTGTTTGTTGGTTCTTTTCTTTACATAGTTATTCCTGCGGTGTACTAATGCTTGCATGCATCAAACATTGCGCCAATAGTTTTGACACTTTATTTTCACTGGTATGATTTTGTGTTTATTTCAGTGTCTTATATTTGACACATACGGGCCTTACTGTATGGTGACTAAACACAAATTCACTGCAGGAGAAGTTTGTCAACCTCAAGAACAAGGTGTTCTTGGAAGATGCATACAACAAGTTCAATGTTGTCAAAGACAAACTGGAGGGGATTATTCCTAAAGAACGCAGAGCATCAAAGAGGAACGGGTATGTAACAACTCAGTAGTCCTGATGCTGCATAAAATTTTCATTTCTGTAATTTGACTATTATCTTAGATGTCTGTACTAAAATGTTTAAGGATTTGCTTAAGACATTGTGTATTTGATGTAGGGGACCCAGTGTAGAATTTGGGCCAGTGTGTTTGAAATTAGGGCCAGGTTTTTTGTGAATTAGAGTAACTATTTAACTTGGGCCACTTTTAATTATTAGGCAACCATTCAATAGCCCTGGTTTTGTTTTATTATTTTGTGCATTTCACTTACCTATTTAAGTTTGAGTGCTCACATGCTATGGTTTGAGTGATTTGCTCTGGGATTAGATATCACAAACATTGTTAAGCATCACATTGTTCAATGTTTAAAACTTAAAACATAGAAACCTAAACATACACTCGAAACTTAAAATGTAGAAACCTAAACATACATTTAGGAACACAATTAGAATCACTCGGAATACAAGTAATTTATGTAACAAAAACTAAGGCTTTTCCGAAACGCACAAATTTCTTAGGTTTAGAACGAAATATACAACATATTCATAACCATTCATCACGCTAACCATTCATCACTTCTAGAAGCTGTTAAAGAGCCATCCTTATTCTCGTACAAGTATTTCGCATGCTCTAAACGTTGGATGTAAGTTGGTGGGTAGTCTGCGTACATGAACGATTCAGCAATGACAAGGGACAAGTTAGCCATTTCGTCATATCCATTTTCAGCTATCATTGCTGATGAGGACTATTGGGTCTTCAATTGAGAAGTCAAGCCAATTAAGTGTTATCTCCATACTTTGTTCGGTTTGTTTAACCTTTTCGGAGCAGTGAATCTCCTATTAAGAAGGGCCAAACCATATTGCTCTCCATTTAGGCAGTTGTACCTTATGGCATCCTCTATCGTGTAGTACCAGTCTTCTATATGGTCGTCAAACAACTCGAAAAACCACCTCACGTATTTACAATACTCTGGGTATGCCATACATTCTAGGATGGTTTTCCTCAAGGCCCGTAAGTTGAAGATAACAACAATTTTGGCAACATCTACCAAGTAAAACATAAAACAATACGCCTCTTTGTGAAAATGTCTTGCTCTCCCAATCCAAAACATTATTAAGAAAGGATAATTGGGATGAAAGTCAATACCTGTGATTGCGTCAACTAAACCCCCTCTTGCAATAGTTGCAAGCTGATGACTAAACATCATATCCTTGCTCTGTTTAGGCATGTGATAGTTCCTAATAATTGAATTCACGTCATGATTTTCATTGTTTCCGACTTTATCAACCCTTTTTAAGAGTATTTTCCTCCTCTTTTCTTCTTTAGCTTTCCTTTTTGCTGCAATAACAACACAATAAGTTAGTTCCTAGTAAGTAAAAATATAAATTCACATGTTAAATAGCAAATCTGTTATTTTTATGTGACCGTTGTTTCCCATGTTTGAGTGTAATTTTTAGTTTAGACATAATATTAGAAGATAATTTTTTTTGTTATCAATGGTGGTGGTATTACTCTTCCAACAACATTGTGTAACTTCACATATCTCTGTAGTCCAAGCATTAAAAAGACAAAAATGGAGAAGCTAGTACATAAATATTTGGGGGGATTTGTTTGTAGAGACGTGCCTTGAGCCAAACGCTAGTAATTTGGTTGTACTTTGCCTCATCTGTTTGGTCTTTCCATTACTTGTTCAAAGCAGTAGGTTTTACCCTTTTAGTTCTTTAAAATGTAGCTCAGCAGTAGCCTGGCCACACTCAGTTGTTGCAGCTTTACATAAAAGTAGGCGATGGTTTTTAGTACTTATCTTGATTTCTTTGCGGAATTGCAATGGTTATTCAAAATAGTTTTGAAAGCAAAATGTTACCCTTCCTTTTTTATATAAGCCCTTTTACTCTTCACACTCCAATTACACACCTCATTTCCCTAGTTTCTAAATACCACCTTCTCTCAATTCTCTTGTTAACACACCATGAGCAACACCAAGAAAATTTTCAGTATTTCTGGTAATCCAATGCAACTCCACCCAACTAAACCTGTTTTTTACTTTTCTCCATTCATTGCCATACTTACCCCCGAGCTTGATTTCAACTCCATTTCATACTATCCTAACCACATGGACTTCTATCAAATGGCCTCCCCTTTACCAACTACTTTAATTCATGACCAACTGGTAGAGAGTAAAGACTAAGGATAGTCCTTAATGTTTGTAATAAGTTTGGATTTAGTCCCTAACGTTTCAAAAGGGTAAATTTAGTCCTCATCCACCATTTTGGGTGGTCAATTTGCTGACTGTAACAAACATGAAGGACTTGAGCTAATGATTGGACCAAACATTAGGGACCTTGCATGCTGACTAGACCAAACATTAGGGACCTTAGCTCATTTTTTAGATTTTCTTACTGAGTAGACTAAACATTAGGGACTTTGCATTATTTTTATTCTAATACTCTTAATTAATCTAGTACTAGTATTTTATTACTCATTCCAATCTTTTAATAAAATAATTTTTTTAATTAATATTTAAAATTTTACCTCACTTTTAACATTAAATTTTTAATTAATATTTAACATTTAAAAAAAATTGAAAAAAAATCTATTCAATTGCTACAAAAAAAAAATGAATTTTAGAACTAAATCTATTTTTTTTTTCAACTGCTACTAAAAAATCAAATTTTAAACAAATTAGTAATATTTTTAACAAGTCACTTTATGTAATATTTTTTTATTACATATTATTTCTTTTACTTAATTGTTAATTAAAATTTAAAATAAAAATCAACCCCCTATACTGATTAGTCCCCACCCCAAACCCTCGACTGACCACCGCACACAACCTCCTCGGGACCACTTTCTTTTCCTCCTCCTTGAATGCAGGCCAACCCCTCTTTTCCCCACCAACCTCTTACTTTTACCCCTCCCTAATCATCGGCATTCGTCGGTTGAAACCCAAACCCACAAACCCCACACCGAAACCCACCTGAAACCACCATACAAACCTCAAATTCCACCCTATCACCATATCTACCCCGAAACCCAACCTTAACTACCGAAACCCACCACATCCACCTGTACCCAAAAAAAAACCCCAACTAGAAATTCGTAAAAATAGAGAAAGGGAGGAGCACAGGCGACGCGGCGGTGAGCAAGAAGAAAAAGAAAGGGATCGGTGGTGGCCGGTGGGTGGAGGGATTATCAGCGGTGGTATGGCTGGAGTGATTGGTCTGCGCGGGAAGGTGGGGGTTGCTCAACAATTGGTCGATTGGGGGGAGGGAAGTTATTTGTTTTTTAATGTTAAATATTAATTAAAAATGAATGTTAAAAGTGGGGTAGAATGTTAAATATTGATTAAAAATTATTTTATTAAAAGATTCGAATGAGTAATAAAATAATAATATTAGATTAATTAAGGGTGTTCTAGACACCTGGTTGTGTTTCCCCAAAAACCAAACTTAGTAATGATTACCTTTCACATTTTTATTATCGAGTTAGGTGAAAAGTTGAAGAGTCTCGTGAAGTTCCCTTTAAACCTGACCATTTATAACCTTTATCAAAAAATTTTAAGCCAAAATCATTTATTTCGTGCCTTTAAACCCAGTTGCATTCATTTCATGTACTTAAAATCATTCATTTCGTGTTATCTTTATAAAAAAGTTCAAACCAATTTATTTTGGTCCATAATCGGGTCCAATAATTGTGTAGTTGGATGGGGCTTTTAAGAGCTTTCCTACAATATATTATAAGCCCAAATCCGAGTTATAACGAAGAAGTTATGGCCAAAATACTAAATCGAGCCCAAACCGAGCCTTACCTACGACCCAATGACCATGTGGAGGGTCCGTTAACCTTTAACATCATTCCTTAAACCCTTAGGATTTATTATTAGCTTCTAGAATCCTCTAGAAGGTTCTAATTTATCCTATTTTTTGAAAATATAAAAATTTAAGGATTTTACTTCGGATAAAACACTTGTTTTTTAATAGGTTTAATTATGATAAAACTAGAATACGTTTTAGAATCAGGATTAGCAATCTTTGTAATGATGGGTTCATCATCTTTGGGCATAGAAGGCCCATCGTATTTTGAACCACTTCTTAGGGTAATTGCATTCACGTGATATGTAGGTTGTATTGGTGGCGATGGTAGGGCTCCCTGCTGGCGAGTTTGTAGAGTAGAGGAAAGTTGCGCAATTTGATTATCTATAATTTTATTATGTGATAGGATCGAATCAATTTGTGCATCTCTACTCTGCATCTACTTTTGTATATTGGCTAACATAGTTTTGATTTCTAATAGGCCAGATTCAGAAGAAGGAGTAACAACCTGTAATGGTCTCTGATGTGGAGGTTGGTAGTACCTCTGCTGTGGTTGTTGTACCTATGGTAGGGGGTTAAGCACATTCATACTATTGTACGACATATTTTGGTTATTTTTTCAACCCTGCATTGTAGGTGTTAGAGTACGGACTAATTTGTTTATAGGTTTGAAAAGCATTAATCTTCTCAAGTGAACTCCTACAGTCTTGCGCCCAATGACCTACAAGACCACAATTTTCATAAAATATTGCAGAGTTGGTACCAATAGCAGAAAAATTAGCAACGGAAGATGAATTAGAATTATCAATATTGTCTAGTTTTTGGCTAATAGAAGTCAATTGTGCTTGCAAAAAGAATATAAAATCGACTTGGTGTTTTCCCTTGTTTGCAAATCCTCTGGGATTCCCATATTGGGAATTATGAATAGCCATCTCTTCGACAACATTGCTCGCTATATTCTCATCCAAATTCGTAATCTTCCGTCAGCTGCAGAGTTCAAAATCATTCTTGAATTATATCCAAGCCCGTTGTTGAAGGCTTGGATTATCTGCCATTGTGTTAGCCCATGATGGGGGCATTGTCTCTGCAAATCCTTAAATCTTTCCAAGCTTCATATAAAGACCCGTGTGCATCTTGGGAAAAATTAAGGATTAAGCTTCGTAATAAAGCAGTCCTCTCTGCAGGGTAATATTTATTATAGAAATTCTTAGCAAGAGTACTCCAGTCAGTAATACCAAGGGCAGTCCTATTCAATCCATTGTACCACAAAAAGAATCTCCCTGGTTTGGTCCTGCGTGACCCCAGCTTGTCTAATAGTATTGCAATATTGACAAAAATCCAAATATGAAGATTTGGATCTTCACCCTTAGCTCCACTAAATTGCTTGCTTTTGATCATCGTAATAAACTGGGGTTTAATC